GGGGATGTAGGGGGTTGGAGGAGGTGACAGACATAGGGAGGGAGTGTAGGGGCTGGAGCGGGTGACAGAGACAGGGAAGGGTTGTAGGGGGCTGGAGGAGGTGACAGAGATAGGGAGGGGGTGTAGGAGCTAGAGGGGGTGACAGAGATAGGGAAGGGTTGTAGGGGGCTGGAGGAGGTGACAGATAGGGAGGGGGTGTAGGGAGCTAGAGCGGGTGACAGAGACAGGGAGCGGGTGTAGGGGGCTGGAGGAGGTGACAGAGATAGGGAGGGGGTGTAGGGGCTGGAGGAGGTGACAGAGATAGGGAGGGGGTGGAGAAGGTGACACATAGGGAGGGGTTGACAGAGATAGGGAGGGAGGCATTAATTTAATTTGAAAACAAGGGCATGAACATAAATGTGGTCATTGATTTAAACTGCAGCTACAAGATCACAGGGGGGATGAGGTTTCCTGGGAGTTTGAGTACAGGGCAGCAGAGTGCTGTAATTCTCAGGGTTCTGGCAGGCATGGTGCAGGGGGGAGGCGGGGGTGGTTAGCTGAACAAGTGTTGGAACAAATAAAAGTATCATTGCAGTTAAATGGCAGAGCCGGCTTGGAATGTTAAACAACTTCCTTCCTGTTCCTCTGAGCAGTGAAATTGGAGGGGTTGAGACAGGGTCAGAAATCACACGACACCAGTTTATGTGTCCATGAGCAGGTGTCGTGTGATTTCTGACTTTGTCTACCCCAGTCCAATACTGGCACCGCCACATGAGAATGGTCCCAGGAATGGAAAGCTTAACATATGTGAAACGTTTGAGGACTCTGGGACTATACTCATTGGAGTTTAGAAGGATGAGGGGGGATCTGATTGAAACTTACAGAATACTGAATGGCCTAGACAGAGGGAAGATGCTTCCATTGGTAGGAGAGACTAGGACCCGAGGGCACAGCCTTAGAGTAAAGGGAAGACCTTTTAGAACGGAGATAAGGAGAAACTTCTTCAGCCAGAGAGTGGTGAATCTATGGAATTCACTGCCACAGAAGGCTGTGGAGGCCAGGTCATTGAATACATTTAAGACTGAGATAGATAGGTTCTTGATTATCAAGGGGATCAAGGATTACAGGGAGAAAGCGGGAGAATGGGGCTGAGGAACTGATCAGCCAGGATTGAATGGCGGAGCAGACTCGATGGGCTGGATGGCCTAATTTCTGCTCCTATGTCTTATGGTCTTATCAGGATGAGAGAGAGTGAGTGAACGTTTGCAGAAGTGGAGCTGTATAAATTTGGAGATTGACATGACTGAGTCATTGATGGAGTAATCAAAAGATTTCCTGCATTCATTGCAACCCATGCCCATGATCCAAAGAGTAAGCCTTCACACATCAAAGACTCCCTGCAGAGTCCGATTGCAATATAAATCCCTTCTGCAGAACCTGCTCCTCGTTTAACAGGTTCCTGTCATAGTCTGGGAGCTGCAAGTCAACACGAACAGAAAGAGGCAACAATAGGTGTATGCCACACCCAGTACAGCTCTCAACTTCATAAAGTGTCATTTATAAACCTAGAACAGCCCAAAGCACTTTCACAATGTTTCAAGGTGAAGTCAGTGTTACACTTCGGCAAATACAGTCCTTTCCCCGCCCCAAGACGCACACACACACACACATACACACAGAAAGGACAGTGTAATCATCACTAGATATTCTGATTTGCTTTTAAAAACTGACATTAGAATCAGAATAAATTGTGATCCTAGAGGCAGGGGAGACCGCTGCTACCAGTCTGCAAATTATTTGCCAAAGGATGTTTGGGGCCCACATGAGAGATCAATCTGAAAGGAGCCTCCGACAGTGTCCACTCCCTCCAACAACAATTCTCTCAGCACTGACCCTCCGACGGTGCAGCACTCCCTCAGCACTGAATCTCTGACGGTGCGGCACTCCCTCAGCTCTGAGCCTGCAACAATGCCTGCTCCCTCAGTGCTGACCGTCCAACATTTCTGAACTGACAGTCTCAGCCTAAATTTCTGCTGTGGTCTTTGAAGTGGAGTAAGGATGTGCTCCCCACTGACAGCGGTATGTCAATCCCAGTAGGTAAGAAGTTGATATGAATGCTGATTCACCAGGAAGTCGCCTGGGCTGAAGTCGTTACAGTGATTATTTTGGCTGTGGTTGTTTTCCTTAGAGCAGCGAGGACTGAGGGACATGTGATTTGAGGTGTAACAAAATTATAAGGAGCATAGATAGGGACAACATTTCCCATCTAATAGAGGGATCAAAAACTGAGGACATGGTTTTAAAGGTGATGTGCAGGAGGTTTAGAGGGGACTTGAGGAATTAATCTTTCACCCTCAGGATGGGGAGAATTCAGAACTCACTGCCAGAAAGAATGGTGGAGTCTGAAACCCTCAAGGCATTTAAAAAGATGATCACTTGAACATGGAAGGCTTTGGGGGAATCCCTGGGAAAAAAGGAGTGGAATAGATAGAGTGGTGAAAGCATAGTGGACTAAAGGTCCTCTCGCAACACTGTAAAACTCTATGACTTTACAGAGTGCAGGTGGTAATTTTGTGGGGTTTGGTGGAATCATTCAGGATTCCAGTTTCCGATATAAAAAGGAAAAATCTTTGGAATGATCCTATGTCCCAATCCTCCCTTTTGGATGTAACCCCCTCCTCATTCCTGAAAAGTCAGTTTGGACTCAAAACGTTAAACTCAGTTTTTCTCTCTCTCTCTCTGCACAGATCTTACAGCCCTGCTGAGTTTCTCCAGCATTTTCTGTTTTTTTTTAAAACAACTTCCCCAGACCCCTGTTCATCAATCAAGTGAATCCACATCGAGTGTAAGATACATCCCATTTCCCAGTCAGATCTTTCCTGGGGGGTAAGATCTGCAGTTCCAGGAGGCAAGACAGACTGTGAGATTTCAATCAAAAATAATCAGACTTTGTCTCCTTGTGGCCCCCGACAATCTTCTTAGATAACATCCTGCTCCCCGTACAAATCCTACAGCCACAACAACAACATTTGCACTGTCAATCTTTTTCAGAAAAATAAATTTTGAGACACTTACGATGTTCAGTGGTAGAAGAGATGTGGAGGAGGAGGAGGAAGTGAGTGATGAACAGATGGACCCACATTTTGTCCTCTCTTTGAGTAATTCGAGATCCTGGATTTCTTCTCAGTCCAACTGTCTGTGAGAGCTGCAGTGGTGAGAAGTTAATGTGTGTTCTATCCTTCTGACAGACTCTGTGGGGTGGGTATGATCTTATTGTAACTCCTCCCTGATTGCAAAACACAGATAATTGAAAGCGAACATTAGTTCTCATTCCTATATTTCTCAATGTACTGTTGAATTTTCTGAGATTTGAATCACTCAGCACCTCTGAATGGAATAACCAGCTAAGACCAAAAGACATAGGAGTAAAAGTAGACCATTCAGCCCATCAAGTCTGCTCTGTGGCTGATCTGATTATCCTCAACTCATAGTCATAGAGTCATAGAGATGTACAGCACGGAAACAGACCCTTCGGTCCAACTTGTCCGTGCCAACCAGAAATCATAAATTAATCTAGTCGCATTTGGCCCATATCCCTCTAAACCTGTCCTATTCATGTACCCACCCAGATGCCTTTTAAATGTTGTAATTGTACCAGCCTCCACCACTTCCCCTGGCGGCTCATTCCATACACGCATCACCCTCTGTGTGAAAAAGTTGCCTCTCAGGTCCCTTTTAAATCTTTCCCCTGTCACCTTAAACCTATGCCCCCCCCTAGTTTTGGACTCCCCCCTACCCTGGGGGAAAAGACCTTGGCTATTCATTCTCTCCACGCCCCTCATGATTTTATAAACCTCTATAAGGTCACCCCCTCAGCCACTGATGCTCCAGGGAAAATAGCCCCAGCCTATTCAGCCTCTCCCTACAACTCAAACCCTCCAACCCTGGCAACATTCTCGTAAATCTTTTCTGAACCCTTTCTAGTTTCACAACATCTTTCCTATATCAGGGAGACCAGAATTGCACTCAATACTCCAAAAGTGGCTGAACCACTTTCCTGCCTTATCCCCATATCCTGGGATTCCTTTACTGTCAAAAATTTGTCTGCCTTGAATCCCTTAACAACACTGCCTTGACAGTCCTAAAGAATTCACCGCCCTCTGAGAGAAGAAATTCTGCCTCATCTCTTCTTAAATGAGTGACCCCTTATTCTGAGCTAGCTTCACAATGCAGGGAAGATTTCCATCTCTTGCTCCAGCTGTCTCGATGGCCCAGGACTCCATTCACTATCACAATTTTCAATCCGTTGAGTCTTGACAGTTAGCGAGCACTTCGAACATGGAGTGCATCAAGGATAAATGCTCAAGAGAACATTAGCAAAGAAAAACGCACAAAAAAGGTTTGTCTGTTGTACGCTGTTGACCTCAGGACCTCTCTTGGAGTGGAGAAGTATGCTTACAAGTGCTGCTAACGATTCTTTTACTTTTATGGCAACCTTCGATCTTGTAAGACGAGATGATGGTGGTCACCCCTGTTCTTGACCAGGGTTACAATCTCCGTCCCCTGGGGCACTGCCTCTCCCTGCTCTAGAACAGAAATGAATGTGCAGGAGGTTTCCAGTGTATGTACAGCTTCAGTACCTGGAGGCCTGTCCAGTGCAAGCAAGGCAGTGGCGTTACTGAGCTCCTCCACTGTGGCCTTGAGATCCAAATCTGCCATGATGTCCTCGCCCTCTATGGTGTCAACAACTTCCTCAGTAGGACATAAGGCAATATCTTTCCAAATAGTCTACAAAAATCATGAGAGGTACAGACAGGGTGATAGCAAGAAGCTTTTTCCCAGAATGGGGGACTCAATTACTAGGAGTCACGATTTCAAGGTGAGAGGGGAAAAGTTTAAGGGAGATATGTGTGGAAAGTTCTCTACACAGAGGGTGGTGGATGCCTGGAACGCGTTGCCAGCGGAGTGGTAGAGGCGGGCATGATAGCGGCATTTAAGATGTACCTAGACAGATACATGAATGGGCAGGGAGCAGAGGGATACAGATCCTTGGAAAATAGGTGACAGGTTTAGATAGAGGGTCTGGATCGGCACAGGCTTGGAGGGCCGAAGGGCCTGTTCCTGTGCTGTAATTTTCTTTGTTCTTTGTTCAAATGTTTCCTGCACTTGGCGACAATGTCCTCTGCCTTTACTGTTGGCATTTGTTGCCTTATTGGTCACTCAAAACCTGATGTTCCCTGTGGTTTTTTTGATTCGTTCACAGGATGTGGGCATTGTTGTTGGAGAAAGCATTTATCACCCGTTTCTCGCTGCCCTCTTGAACCACTGCTGTAGGAAATACCCACCGTGCTAGTATGGAGGGGGTTCTGGGATCTGAACACTGAAGGAACAGCCAATATATTTCCTGGTGGGTGTTTTGGAGGGAAACTTGCTAGAGGTGGTGTTCCTATTTAGAATCTCTAGAAGCAGACCATTCAGCCCATCAAGTCCACACTGACCCTCTGAAGAGCATCCCACCCTATCCCTGTAACTCAGCATTTCCCATGTGGAACCCACCTAGCCTACATATCCCTGCACAATATGGGGCAATTTAGCATGGCCAATCCATCCTAACTTACACATATGGGAAGAAACTGGAGGACCCAGAGGAAACCCACACAAACACAGGGAGAATATGCAAACTCCACACAGGGTCCCAAGGCTGGAATTGAACCCGGGTCCCTGGCGATATGAGGCACTGAGCCACCATGCTGCCCCAATGTCTCATATATCTGCTACCCTTCTTCTAGATGGGGGTGGAGATGGGTTTAGAAGGTCCTGTCCTAAGGGGCCTTGGTGAATTTCTGTAGCGCATCTTGTAGATGGTACACTCTGCTGCTACTGCGCGTCGGTGGTGGAGGGAGTCGATGCTTGTGGGTGTGGAGCCAATCAAGGTGGGAGGAAATGCTTTGCTCTTGTGTCGTTGAGCTTCTTGAATGTTGTCGGAGCTGCAATTGGGGAATATTGCATCACACTCCTGACTTGTGCCTTGATGGTGGGACTGGCTTTGGGGAGTCAGGAGGGGAGTTACTCCCTGCAGGATTCCCAGCCTCTGACCTTCCTTTTGCAGCCACTGTATTGACATGGCTGGGTCCAGCTCAGTTTCTGGTTAATGGTAAGCCCCATGATGGTGATGGTGGTGAATTCAGTGATGGTGACGAGGAGATGGTTAGATACAGTTTTGTTGGAGGTGCTCACTGCGTGGCACTTGTGTGGCTCGAACGTTACTTGCTACTTGTCAGCCCATGTCTGACTCAGAAGTGACTGCCGTTACGCCAGAAACAATGTTCCCTTGTGAAGGTCCAAGGTGTGCATGGCAGCAGCTTCTGGAGAGGACTGAGGCTCTTCGGCTTTTGTGTAGCCCTACAGCTTCGACCAAACATCGGCAGAGCCAAGTGATCTTGATCTACAGTGCGGGTCCACGTCATTAACACTTGGCTTGGAAAGGAACAATACAGTAACAGAGTGAGGACTGAATAAATACAATCCAATCCAATACAGCACAGGAACAGGCCCTTCAGCTCACCAAGTCTGCACCGACTCTAATCCTTATTTAAACCTGCTACTTATTGCCCATGTGCAGTTTCTATCCTTCTGTTTGCTTCCTGTTCATGTGTCTGTCAAGATACACCTTAAATAAAGTGTGCCTGCTTCCACCGTCTCCTCTGGAGCAGAGTCCCAGGCACCCACCCTCTGTGTGAAAAACTTCTCCCCTAAACTTTCCCCTCTCACCTTGAACCTGTGCCCTCTTGTAGTTGACATTTCAACCCTGGGACAAAAGCCTCTGAGAATCCACCCCTATCTATGCCTCTCATAATCTTGTAGACCTTTATCAGGTTGCCCCTCAGCCTCCATCTTTCCAGTGAAAACAATCCAAGTTATCCAACCTCTCCTCCTAACTAAAACCCTCCAGACCAGGCAACGTTTTGGTAACAGAAATAGTAAGAACTGCCGATGCTGGAGTCAGAGATAACACAGTGTGTGGAGCTGGAGGAACACAGCAGGCCAGGCAGCATGAGAGGAGCAGGAAAGTTGACGTTTCAGGTCAGGACCCTTCTTCAGAAATCATTTTGGTAAACCTTCTCTCCGAAGCATTCCAGGTCCTTCTGGTAGCGTGGCAAGCAGAACTGCACACAATATTCCATGCGTGGCCTAACTAAAGAACTCCTGCAACGTTGACTAAATTTTATATACAAAACAAACTTGTTTCACTGAGGGCAGGAGTGAGTAAATGAATAACCAGTTCTGCCGGTGAGCTGAACAACCTGTTTAAATGGCATTTTGTTTTTTTTTGTTTTTTTGGAAGGGTGTTGTATGGAGGAAGGGCAGAATCAAACCAGAAAAACTTTGTTCCTCTGCACAATGGTGCTATGGTAACGAGCTACATGGGAAGAGGAGGAAGACATTCAGCACCCTGAGCGCTTGCTGCTATCTAGTTAGAAAAAAGACTCTTGCCTCAACTCTAGTTACATGCCTTAGCTCCACAATCATCACTACTATTAGCCCATAGAATTCCCCTCACCTCTGAAATCCACGTTATAGCAGGGATGTGATAGCACTGAGAGAGGGTGCAGAGGGAGATTTACCACGACGTTGCCCTGGTTGGGGAGGCTGGAGAGTTTCAGTGATGGAGAGAGTTTGGAAAGACTGGGATTGTTTTCCTTAGAGCAGAGGAGACTGAAGGGTGGGGGTGGGGTCGTGGGTGACATGATTGAGGGTAAAACAATGAGGGGCGTAGATACGGCAGACAGGAAGAAACTTTTTGGAGGGGTCAATGACCAGGGTTGGGGGGAGCACACATCAATTTCAGGAATGGGGCAGGAGGTTGAGAGAGGATTGTAAGGAAAAATCTTTCACCCAGAGGCTGGAATAGAAATTTATTCCCACATGTAACTTGACAAGAAAAATACAGTGAAATGTTTTATCAGTCGTCCCTCCATGGCACCTACATCAATGACAGACATCATACATAATAATAAGATAAAGTAAAATTAAGACAAAGTTCACCACAGTTCAGTTAATGGCTCCTGCGTTTGAGGAAAGCTGACTTAGGAACAGTGGAATACCCTGAAGACACAGCCAAGGTGATACCGCCATTCTGGGAATGAGGCCGCCTGCCAGGCTTCTGGAATACTGGGCCGGAGGCCTCCACCAAAGGTGACCGCCATGCCAGGCCTAGAATGCCCTTCCTGGACAAGGCTGCTAGCCAGGCCCCGGAATACCTGGAAGCCGAAAGTGAAGACCTCCATGTCGGAACAAGACTGTCATTCTGCGCCAAACCACCACTTCTCCTCATTCAGGCTCTGGGGCCTAGCCACGGCCCTGGAGCCTCAGCCTAGCCTGCTAGCCTGGGCCAGGAATGTCAGCCCAGGACTTGCTCCTCGCTCACTCGCTCACTGGCAGACCGTATGCTGGGTTGGAGCTGTGTCCGGCTCATTCTGGTGTCGCTGCCGCTGGAGGTCTCCTCCTTCGCCCACCACCTGCCAGGCTTAAAAAGAAAACAAAGTAAAAAGAAAAAGAGCCAAAGAAGAAAAAAAGAGAAAACAAGCCGATGGGAGTGGACAAGCCCTGGGCCCAGCTGACCTACTCTGCCGCCATCTTGGAAAAAAAGCCAATGGGTTGTGGCAATCTGGAACTCACGGACTGTGAGTATGATAGAGGCACAAACCCTCATAACATTGAAGACAAAATTAGATGCACATGTGATATTTCAAGGCATACAAGGCCATGGGCCAAGTGCTGGAAAGCAGGATTAGAACAGTTCGGGGGCTTTTGACCAGTGCAGACTCAATGGGCTGAAGGTCCTATTTCTGTACTGGAGATCTCCAGTTGCTTCCCCCACTGTAAACAAGTCCCTCCCCAGCCTGACTGGGTAACAACACGCCTGGTACTCAGTTGATACAGTGTGGAGCTGGAGGAACACAGCAGATCAGTGTCAGAAGTTCTGGTGAAGGGTCCTGGCCCAAAACGTCAGCTTTCCTGCTCCTCTGATGTTGCCTGACCTGCTGTGTTCCTTCAGCTCTGCACTGTATTGACTCTGACTCCAGTATCTGCAGTTCGTGCTGTGTCCTCCACCTGGTACTCATTTGTTTTCCAGTTCTAAGATCAGAAACACACATTGGTTCAACATTGATACTGATACCACACCAGTGCCCAGGAACCAGCCACCACGAGTGAGGTAATTTCTGTTTAACAGGCTTACCAAGATTGCACAAGGCTTTAGGAGAAACAGTAACAGGGGGGACAGCTGGTGGAACTACACAGTTCCTTCATCAGCTTTTTCATTTCGAAAGATTAATTCGGTGGGATGTGAGCGTCACTGTCTGACTGGGGGGACATTGCTGCACGTCGTGTGGGGAAGGCACTGCCATGCTATATCACAGGAACTTAAATCAGGTCAAATACTGACAGCAAGCCAAACAAAACATCAGGAAAGGGGACAGAACATATAAATCACCGCATGGTCACAGGATGGGGTGGGCCGTGGTATCGTGGACAGTGAACAGGGTTATGTCATGTTACAAAGAGATCTCGATCAATTGGGTCAATGGGCTGAAGAGTGGCAGATGGAGTTCAATCTGGATAAATGTGAGGTATTTTATTTTGGTTAAAACAAACAAAGACAGGACTTATACAATTAAAGGGAGAGCCTTGGGCAGTGTTTTAGAACAGAGAGACCTCGGAGTTCAGGTACATAATTCTTTGAAACGTACAACACTGGTAGACAGGATGGTTAAAAAGGCCAAAAGAACTGTGGATGCTGTAAATCAGGAACAAAAACAGAAGTTGCTGGAAAAGCTCAGCAGGTCTGGCAGCATTTGTGAAGAAAAAAAAATCAGAGTTAACGTTTCAGGCCTGTTAAAAAGGCATTTGGCACGCTTGCCTTCTTTGCTCAGTCCTTTGAGCATAGGAGTTGGGACGTCATGTTGAGATTGTACAGAACATTGGTGAGGGCTCTTCTGGAATACTGTGTCCCGTTCTGGTCACCCTGTGTAGAATGAACTTGCTAAGGAAGTGGTGGATGCAGGTACAGTTATAACATTTAAAAGGCATTTGGATAAATACAGGAACAGGAAAGGTTTGGAGGGATATGGGTCAGGCGCAGACAGGTGGGACTAGTTTAGTTTGGGAACATGGTCAGTATTGACTGGTTGGACCGAAGGGCCTGTTTCCATGCTGTAGGAATCTGTGAGTCCCTGCCGTGAGAGCTTACTCCACATTTTCTCAGAATTTCCGCGCCCTGAAAGGAGGAGGTTCGTTTTCTTCGGCAAAGCCAGGAAGTGATTCCAGAGTTCGTCTCAGTCCATGGGACAGTGACTAGCGATGAGCCGGAAGAGCTGGATGAGGCGGGGGGGAGGTGTTACAGTGTATAGACAAGCTGTCCGCCCCCACGTTGGGGGAGGTGCAAAGTAGCCAGCAGTGGGCAGCCTTCATTTTGACGCTCCCGCACCCCCCAATACCTTCATTGTGGCAGCTGTTGCTGGACAATAAGATACCAGCTGCTTTCTCCCCTCCACCTCTATCTGTCTACAAATGAGGAAGAGGCCATTCAGCCCCTCGAGCTAGCTCTGCCATTGGATGAAATCTCAGCTGATCTGATTGTGTCCTGAATGCTACTCTGACTCCCCTTCTCTATCAGGCTAGGTGGGTTAGCCATGGGGAATATGGGGTTACAGGCCTGGGTGGGATGTTCTTTGGAGGGTCAGTGTGGACTCAATGGGCCGAATGTCCTGCTTCCATACTGTAAGGATTTTAAAATATGTTTCCCTCAGGCTTAAAAATATTCAGTGCCCTGGTCTCCATGACCACTTGGGAAAGAGAGATTCACAACCTGAGAACTCCATGGGAGACAATTTCTCATCATCCCCACCCTAAGTGGGAGAGCCACTATTCATAAGCTCTTTATGCTGCCCTAGTTTTAATGCTGTCCAACCAGAGGAAGCTACACCCCCAGCAACCCCACTGACCTTGATATCACAAGTAGTAAATAGGGAGGACAAAAACGTTAGAATGCAGGATCATATCGATAGCCTGGTCAGATGGGCTGAACAGTGGCAAATGGAATTTAATCCTGAAAAGCGTGAGGTGCTGCATTTCAGGAGGACTGACAAGGCAAGGGAGTACACGTTGAATGGTAGGACCCAGAGAGTTACAGGGTATCAAAGAGACCCCAGTGTGCAAGCCCCATAGATCCTTGAGTGCAGCAGGACAGGTACATAAGGTGGTTAAGGTAGCAAATGGGACTCTTGCCTTTATTAGTCAGGGCACTGAATACAAGAGCTAAGGAGGTTATGATGGAGCTGTCTATAACCTTAGTTAGACCACAGCTAATGCAGTGTTCTGGTCCCCACACTGTAGGAAGGATGTAGTTGCACTGGAGAGGCTACAGGGGAAATTCGCCAGGATGTTGCCTGGGCTGGAGGGATTCGCTGATGAAGACAGATTAGATAAGGCTAGGTACCCACACTGACCCCAGTTACGCCTGCAGGGTACGTAAAACATTCCTTGTTCCAGTACTATTCCAGCCCCTACCCACAACTCTTTCTCCGGTATATCAAGGATATCATCAATGCTGCTTCCTTCTCTTGTCCAGAATTGGAAATGTTTATCGATTTCGCTTTCAATTTCCACCGTGCTTTCACTTCTCCCTTCCCTTCCTTAACATGTGTGTGTGTTTCTGGGCATCAGCTGGCCACCAAAATCCACTAACCCACTGACACCCTCACACGCTGCTTCCTGTAAAGACTCTATTCCATTCTCCCAGTTCCTCCGAATCCGTTGCATACATTCCGCTGATGCTAAATGCGACAAAGGAGCCTCTGTAATGTCCACCTTCTTTCTCAATCAAGGAATTCCCTAGCACTGTTGTTGACAGGGCCCTCAGCCATATCTGACCCACCTACCACATTTCAGCCCTCACCCTCTCTCTCTCTCTTCCCTCCCACAACAATGATAGGGTTTCCCCTTGTCCTCATCTACCACCCACCAACATCCACATCCAGAGGATCATTAGCTGTCATTTCCACCACCTCCAGCAAGATACTACTACCACACACAGACTCCCCTCCCCTCCCTTGTCAGCCTTTCACGGGGACCGTTCCTTCTGGGAAACCCTGGTCCACTCCTCCTTCACTCCCAATACCTCCCACACCCCTACAGCACCTTTCCGCACAGTCACAGAAGGTGTAACACCTGACCATTTACTTCCTCCTTCCTCACAATCCAAGACCCCAGACATACCTACCAGGTAGAGCAGTGATTTATCTGTATTTCACTCAATGAAGTCTACTGTTTTCGCTGCTCACAATGTGGTCCCCTCTACATTGAGGCAATGAAACACAGACTGAGTGACCACTTTGCAGAAGACTTGTATTCTGTCCACAAAAATGACCCTGAGCATTCAGTTGCCTGCCACTTCAACACACCACCCTGTTCCCTGTCCAACATCTTTGTCTCAGGCTTGCTGTGGTGCTCCAGTGAAGTTGGAAGAACAGCACCTCATTTTCCACTTGGGGACCCTGCAGCCTTCTGGACTCAACAACCTCAACAACTTTAGGCTTGACCTCTCCCATATCCTTACCCCAACCCCTACACACCAGGCCTTGTTATCTCAGTCTATTATTACACACAACCCATTGTTAGCCAATAAGTCTCTGTTAACAGCTATTCACCCTCCTAGCCAGATCATCATCCATTCCTTTTTCTGTCCACCCGTTCTTCTCTCTCTTTGGGCTCTATCTCCATCTATCATTTACTCCTTACCCTCTCCCCCACCCTATCTTCTGTATATAAACCAACATTTTCCTAGCCACCATCAGTTCTGAGGAAGGGTCACTCAACCCAAAACATTAACTCTGCTTTCTCTCCACAGATGCTGCCAGACCTGCTGAGATTTTCCAGCAACTTCAGTTTTTGTTTAGAAAAGGCTGGTTTGTTTTCATTAGAGGCAGCTGAGGGTGGAGTTGGGGGGGGGGGGGGGAACGGTGGGAAGAGAGTGGTGCTACCTGACTGACTGTCATAGATTGTAAGAAACCTTTCTCCTTAGCAAAAAAGGGCATAAATTGAAGGGAACGGGGCTGGAAGTTTAGAGGGATTTGAGGAAGAATGTTTTTGAGCCCAGAGTGTCGAGGGCGGCAGAGGCAGGGACCATCACAACATTTAAGAATTATTCAGATGATCACTTGAAATGCTGTAACAGACAAGGTTAAGGACCAAATGCTGGTAAATGGGATTAGAATAGACAGATGCTCAGTGACCAGTGCAGACATGAAGGGCTGAGTGGCCTCTTTGTGTAGAGAGGTAGATAAGTACAGAGATACCAGGAATAGTAGGAACTGCAGATGCTGGAGAATCTGAGATAACAAGGTGTAGAGCTGGATG